ACTCTTTCTTATCTCTGACATCATACTGTGCATCTGTGAGAAATATACTGTGCAAAAATCGAATATTTAGCACTAGAATCATTGAAAATGAGTCAGTCGACAATGACAGGTCTTGAATATTTTATTTTTGCAATTATTGAAAATGAATATCTGCTTTTAACGGAATTAACATTGACTTAGAGTGATATAGGACTATAATTTATCTTGCCTTGTAGCGACCATCATTCTCACTCTCGCTACTAGTTGGATTTCAACTTGAAGGAGGTTCGAGGACTTTCTCGCAAGTTCTCGGTGAATCCGCCTCCCTTCCTCGCGTCCTTCTACTTGCTACCTATCATAGCAAGACGTCAGAGGATACCAATCGGCAGTACCGTAGGAACCACGGGAAAAGCAACCCCCACAAGTGCACTGTCATCTATCTAGCTTCTGGAGCATTGAACGTATGTTAAATTGGAAAAAAGAAAAATGGCGTGCAAGAAAGTCTTACTGATGAGTTCACTAGCAGGTCCAGGACGAAATGCATCCCTTCCTTTTCCTTTTGTCCCTGCTAGCAGCACCGTCATATCGAGGATACCTGTGACAAGCTGACATCAATAAGAGTGGGAAGGACTCTCCACACCCTGTTAACTAAAATTAACTATTTCTATGTAATATAAATTTAATATAAACGATAAATGTAGGTAGGTCTAGTGTTAACTACCTGTTCTAAGTAATGATCAACACGACCTATCAAACTTCATGAATATACCACAAAAAGAGGACACCTGAGAGTACCAGTCTTCCTAATAACATACTGATAAATCTCACAGTAGTCACAAATAATTAATACCAATCAAAAGGTGCATGCATCATTTTAAATCTGTAATTAAAGCAAGGTGAATTTTAATTTTTTGATTATTCGTATCAACACATTTATCTTCTTTTCTACAACTTCCACTTTGACATCAGAGAGTCCATTTGATGTCAACCATTGTCAGTCCTTCCGTATGCTTATTTTATTTAATAAAAATTCCCATTTGCAATTTATTTAATGACGAACATTTCACCAATGTATTTACCCGTTAAATTGTCTCCCCAAATTTTGCATGAGTCTCATAAACAGGAAAATGTGATCATTCGACACGACTCCATACTCTACCGATTCTTTAGGTCGTATTATCCTGTATTTCACGCATTTCGCGACGCGATTCTGTAATCTGGTCGTCATAAACATTCATTTCCATCTTCCGGTATCCTTCACTTTTAAATCCCATTATCCTCATTGCCAGGACCCCTTGTCTTCGGCCACGTTGCGTTACAAATTGACCAGACAGTGTCCTCAGCGGCTCAGAAATGAATTTATCGCTGGTCCACGTTGCATTTTAAGCCACTCCCATTTTCATATCCATATATATTTATTTATTCTTTTATTTCCACCCTCTCTTCACTTCCACGCGACGGACGAAGGGGGACGGAGATATATTTTCCCTTTTGCGGAAAAAATCGTTACTATTCAGTCGGGGTTATTTCATGATCGCGTTATTCCAGCGTGTACAGCTCCATTACAAATTGTTCCATGGTGATTCCGCGTAATCCTATTCACTTGGCGGAATAGGTTTTGAAAGCGAGGCTGGCCATGCTTCCTGCGGGATCTCGTTCGAAAATTCGCGTGCAAATCCCGACGAAATGAGTCATTCGCAGTATATCGAGTCGACACAGAGGATGGGGAAACATGACACGGGTTTATGATTTCCATTGCTTTCCAATGGTTGAATTTTTGTTCTCTTTTTCCTTTCATTTTCGTTGATTTATTTCTAGTAGAATAGGGCAATTTGCGAATTAACGGTGCTTTTCAAAGGGAAGAACGACGGACAGAGATGAACGATAAAGTAAATGGGATTGGAGCTTCTGTTTCGATTTTTATCTTCCTTTGCCGACGTTAATTAATGGTTTCCAGGTATTAATTCGTAAACATACGTCTGTGTTTTTAAATTAAATCGGAGATTATCTCAGTCGATGTGGAAGAAAAAAAATAGAATTCCATCTGCAGTTGCAAATTTGCAGAGTAACACAATACACCGAATCGTTCTATCGGTTTCCCGTGTTGCGGACGAAAGTTTATATTTCGAAATCGAATAGGTTGAAAACGCCGCGTTTCAGCAATTGAAATGAAATATACTTCGTTTATTACATTTTTTGGTTTATATTGCAACAGTTATATTTATCGATGGACTATTATGAATGTTGAAACCACGAAATCGTTCGGAAATCAACGATGTTTCAATTTTTTGAAATTCGAAACTTTGTACTTTCGTTGGAAATTTTTAACTCGAAATTTTCTTTGAAACTAGATCCAGGATTAGTACTTCCACTTAAAGTCTTAAATCGAAATATTCTTTCTATGAAATTAAGTTAATCCTATTTTAAGTTTTCCTATTTTAATTTAGCATAAATGAGTTTAAAAAAAATATTACTCAAAAGTGCAAAGGGTTAAATCAAAATATTCCTCCTACAAAATTAAGTTAACCCTTTGCACTTGGCGATTTTTTCGTTACAGGAAAATAATAATTCGCAGACTTTCTGTCAACTTTCGTAAATAAGAAATCGTATGCAAATTAAGACGTAGAATTATTTTACTCCTTGCATCCTTGAGTAATTTTAAATTCAATAAATTAATTAATATCTAACTTTAAAATCTGATTAAATGACGACTAACATTCGCTTCTCGAATATTTCCAAAAATATTTCAAAAAATGTCTAGAATTTGCAAATCTCGCAAGCCTTTAAATTCAATCAAATGTTTGCGAATTCGAAGAAGATTATATTCAATCTCAGCCGTGCTACTATAATAACTTCGTTACTTACCTTACCTTAATCCGTCGCAAGGGATCTGAGCGTTCCGTTGAATCTGTTGCAGGGTGCAGGTACGAGGGTCGCAGATACCAGGAGGGCACGTCGGTGGTCACGTCCGAGCCCTGTTTGCAGTGCAGGTGCAGCGAGGGCGCGCTCAGATGTCGTCTTCGAGTTTGTCCACGGCTGCCAAACCCACCACCCGCCGGATGTCGCGTCCGTTCACCAGGGGAGAACGTCTGTTGCGCGGAATTAGTTTGCGGCGAGACACGTTAGTACGATTATGAAAAACGTCACGGTTCAACTCGGCCGTGTGCCAGGCAACTATTCCGTTTCGAGCCACGTAGCAGCTCTAGTTAGTTGGTGCGGTATAAATTTCGAAATCGAGTGGACGTTCGGCACAATTAGAGAATTTAGATTAAACGGCCGGCTACGTGTGTGGGTCTCTGCAACTGTAGAGTAGATAACTCGAAACTAGAATAAATCGGACAGAACTCGGCTTAGAACACCGAGTAGCGACTCGAATCATCGATTTTAAATCATTTTTCAAAAATTCCTTGTTCGCTATGATAGGATGGTGAAAATTGGTTTCGAGATACCAAAAATTGACGAAATAACAGGAACGGAATAACACAAACTCGAAACTCACAAAACTAATTTAACTTAGGAAAAGAACACCAAGATAACGAAACGAAAACACACAAAGACGCATTCTATTTTAACTCTCTTTCCAACACCAAACGACTCACGCTCGTGCTGGTCACAATTGATTTCTAAGGACTCTGTTTTGGTCGTCAAGAACCATGCTTTTATGCTTTTCTTGACCTACGTCACTTGTATATAAAAGAGAAGCAAACAAATTATACATAATATAACACCGAAGGGACGTGCTTATAAACGCTTTGTTCAGGAGGAATAGCTTTAATCAATAATCATCCGTAATTGTCTTTTGAAAGTTTGCAAAGACCCATAAAAGAAAATCTATACGATTATAAAGAGTGTTTGAGTCAGTAATAATACGATAAATTGGATTAATTAATCCATATGTATATGAAAACCTGCTCTAGATCTCGATACGCATGTGTTTTGACACACGGAAATTAATTTGGTGTAAGAAGAGAGGAGCAATCGATGCGATTATTGATTAAATTAAAGATTAAACTGTGCGATTACAGCAAATAAGTGTTCTATATAGACAACGGTGGTTTAGATTTAATATTAAATTATCCCGAGATATACGCGAATTCTTGTTAGTATAGAAATAAACGTAAACGAAAGTTATTCGAATTTTAATAGAATAATAAATTATTCTATATCACGGAGATGTTGTAGGAGGATTGCATGTTTTATGTAACGAAAAAGGTAAAAGCGAAATAAATATTTCAGGTGATGCCGTGAGCATGCTACGGAGATCCAACGCTCACGTGGAAGAAGATGAGAAGACGGAGGATCAGCAGAATCCTCGTTTTGAGGGTAATTATCGCGAAACCATAGGTAGGCAGAATTTAGAGACAGAATCTCTATCATATCGATGTTCGATTGCTGCAACTTGTTACGGTATCGGAGGATAGTAATCGAGACAGATGGAAACATAGCTCTCGCGGCTAGGATCCTAACGTTCCCATTAAATTTTCCGTAATTGGGAGCCTGATATCTATTTTTCCGAGGTCCAGCTAATTGAAAATTGCCACGTTTTTTCACACCAGATCTGTACTTTGCACCTTCTCGTTGTTACCATAGTCTACGATATGCCAACGTGATCTACAATCTCAGTACCGAAGCTGTTATTACCCATCGCTTCATTGGTACTGTGGTTTACGACCTGAAAATTATCGCTTCTGCAACGTATGATTTAGAGTTCCTACGATCTGGTTCCACTCTGTAGGAAGGCTGGCATTAAATCTCGTGGGATTCAATCTCGGTAAACAGTTGCTACCAATTCCCATCGTTTCTTCCCTCGGAATCTCCTTCTTCCGGAAGGGGATTCTCTTCTTAGACTATCGCGACCCGAACATCCTGACATCCACGAATTCTAATTCGGAATCTCTGGATATCGGTTAGCCTCTGATCCCTTCCGGTGTCACGACGATTTCCAGCTCACGGAAATTCCACGGATGCTATCGCGAGCTATCCCGTGACCCAAGTGCAACGACACACCGGCTGCAACGTCTTGCCGCACTCTAGACTTTATTCCCATCGTTCGCCTTCTCCCATCCGCGAGACTGAAAAAGCGAAATAGCTGCCTCAAAGCGGACCACGTTCGAGAGTGCTGGCAGTTAAAAGATTCAACCAGGCTGATGGTCGTTCGTGTTAACAATCAGGTTGCCTGCACGAGGGCGTGAGGTACGGGCCCGGCTCGGCGATGATGGGCTCACGTAGATGCGAGTACTGCTACTGCATCTCTGGCGCGAGAAGATGCATCAGACCAAAGTGCCTGCTGCCCCTGCCAGGATGCACTCCACTCTACGCCCCGCACTCCTGCTGCCCTGTTGCCTACAATTGCACCCGTGAGTGTACTCTTCCTTCACTGCTGCGACCGCCGCGAATCGAAATAATAACTCATACAGCTTCTCTTCTTCTCTTTTCTTAAAGATCTCCATTCCTCCACGCTGGCGCCTATCACGGGAAACGGTGAGTTTAACGTTCCTGCTAAGATAAATAAATTTCCATTCGGTTTGTAGGTATGCGTGTCATTAGAAAGGATACGGAGTGTAGAAGAACGTAGATGGAGGTAGGGGTGAGGGTTTATTGTGGATTTTAGAGGGATATTGATTTTTCAGATCGGAAAGCTCCCTTTGGAATTTGATTTCTCGCGTCGCCTGGGTTCCAGTGTTTATCCCCCACACGGAGGTTAATGATCGTCTGTTAGACGGAGCAGTCACTTGCGTTGCGTCGTGTCTGAAAAGCGGCTCAGACGCAGCGGCCCTCTATCCGGTGAAAGTTGCGACGAAAAGTTTAACGCGATAAAAAGGAAAGTTTGCCTCGGTCGCTGTATCAGCTTTGGAAGAAGCCGGCCCTCTCTCCTGCGACGGCTTGCTGGCCGAGTTTAAATTTAAGCTCAGCTTATGAGGAAAAATCGCATCGCGGCACAAAATCAGCGGGACGCTGCATGGCGAACTTTAATCCCTTTAAATTGCGTCGGGTTTTATCGCGCACCGAGTACCATCTAATTATCCTTACGAAAGACCTTTTAAGAATTCCTCTTCCTCTCTTTTTCTGCCCGCTACGTGGACCGCTTTTTGCTCCCCAGCTTCTCCTCGGTCACTTCTTTTTTCATAGGAAAGTTCATTCTTTTCCTATTTTTTCTTTCTCTCCTCTCACGTTTTCTTGTTGAGACACCGCGTGTATACAGACGCGTGTGGTACGCACACACGTGTTGGAAAGTTGAAGAGAAACGTTTTAATGCAATAAAAAAGCTCGGTCCGCCCGTCGACGCTACGTTATCTCGTGACACTCCTGCTTCGGAAAGATTTTCGCCATGGTAGCGGTGGCCGTCGTTTCTCTGCTCGTTCACTTAACGCCCAGTTTCATTCAATTTTACGACGGTGGCCCTTTTCTTCCGTGGAAATGAGAAATCATGTTCCCCGGCAAATCTGACGCGTGAAACGACGACGTGGAGCATTTGTTTTACTTCCGCGAATTTTCGTTTTCGACGGCTCCCCCGAGTTACTTAGAACTGACGTTTTCATCTGCAAGCTTTTCCTCTTCGGCTCGTTCTTTCTTGTCAACCTTCTTTTTATTTACAGTCTATTACGTGTCATTGGGAAAACTCTGACAACATCAGGACTTTTCTTTTCTTTTTTTTTTTTTTTTCGGGTTGGGGATGTATATCATTTAATGTCATCAATGTCTATTTCTTCCAATAAATTCGTTATTATTTTTTAACTTTTTTTTTATGTATTTAATTTGATGTTCGATTTGTGTAAACACATCCTTCTTTTTTGGAGCCACAAACCCTCTCTCCAAATATACCATATGCGAATTTTAAATGTAAAAACCCAGACACCTTTTTTTCCACGCGAATATATCCTCCATTTTTAATTAAGGACATCAAATTTGTCCAAAGTTTTATTTTATGATTTATAAATAATAGTTGGGAATCGGGTTTGTTTTGAACTCATTTTTTGGAACTATTTAAACCGAGAAAAACGAAGAAAATTTGCAACCCACTCGAGAATCGAACCGGAGTCCACAGGTTGGTAGATAAGGAGTTAACCCGTTCGGATATCGGGATCCCATGCAATTTCTTTACTTTTCCACGGTTTTAAGCCACACGACCCTTCATCTACCAAAAGACCAACACTCCCGGATGCCGTTGCTTGTCCATTTAACGGCCAGTTACACGTGGCTGCTTGAAACTTAAACCTCCATCCAAAGCCTCGTTTCCACCCCATTAGAAGTCCACTCCAACCACCGACTTAATCCCGCGCAGCTCGCCGGAAACTCTCCTCGAAGCCAGCCTCCTCCGGCATCGCCCGAAGTTCCGTCCACCGGAAGTACGTCGTGAAAACTCTGAATAACGATGGAACGACGGTTCCATTGTTTCCATCACGACGTGAATCGACAGGAAGGCGTCGTAGCCGTCTAATAACGCCCCAGGGTGACATTCCCGCGATAGAACGAGGCCAGGATCGGCTGGTCGATCGATATTGACTTCCTTCACATTTTTACTCGGCTATACCCTCGGTGAGGGCGCGAGGAGATTGGCTTTTGCTGCTTTATGACGACTTCCGGCGAACAGATCCGGCGGATTATACTCCTACCGAGCTGTTTCGTTGTTCTCCAGTCCGTCTCAAGTTAGATTACCGGATTACGAGTCCTCCGTTTCGATTTCTCGGAGTACAAGAAGTAATGCCAGAAGTAGATAGAGCGAGTCGTGGTATATGAGTTCGATTTTAAACTTTTGTCTGTCGAATACTACCATTTCAAATGTTTTCTTATGCACTCAAGTCTCTTATATAGTTCTATTCTTACTTTGGATACGTTTCTTTGTTATACAAAGTCAGGGGAAATAGATGATAGCGATACTATTTGAACGTTAACCATTAGGCAAGCTGTCCATAACCAATCCATCACTCATGCTGATGAACAAGATTAATATTAATTTTTAGATATGAGAATATTTAATAATTCACGTAGACCTAGTAGAGCCATCTACCTAATTTCCAACTATCAGCTGAGCTATCTAAAAGCCATTCATCACTCGCAAACATGAAAACAGTTAACACCAATACTCTAGTCAGCAAGAAACGATTGTTCATCGAGTATTCAACCCCTTAATATCACTATATTTCACTAATGATGATTCCAATAATGATACCCGGACGATACTAAGATGAACAGAACCCCAAGTACCAAACAAAGCGTCTGATAGCCATCAATCATTCACATCGGTGAAGAAGGTTAATACCAACTCCCTATCCGTGAATATCAATATATCCCATAAAACAGTAATAACACCCGGACGACACTCAGATGAATAGAACCCGGGTTATCAGACAAACCGTCTGAAAGCCATCACTCATTCACCCCAATGAAGAGGGTTAATACCAACTCCCCAGTCAGAAACTACCGTTTAACGAGTATTTAACCTGGAAACAGTAATGACACCTGGACGACACCCACACGGAGAGAATCCCGGCTACCAGACAAGCCGTCTGAAAGCCATCGATCAGCCGCACGCGTGGAAAGGGGTAAATGGAGAATTGACCGAGTTTCGGTTCGCAGGGTGCCGCGTGGGCTCGAGGGTGTACGAGGAGGGTGAGATGGTCCGGGACATCGAGTGGAAGGCCGCCTGCGACAATTGTTTCTGCGCGATGGGCGCGGTGCGCTGCGTGCCGCTCGCCTGCGCGCCTCCTCTTCAAGGCTGCAGCCCGATCGTACGCGAGGGACACTGCTGTCCGTCCACCTACAACTGCAGTGAGTCGCAATGCCTTCGCATCAGGGTTGCCGCGATTTCGCCCCGCCCGACTGGCCCACCCGGATTGCGTTTTCCGTTCCTCGTAACCCTGAAATCCGGCCCCTAGGCCAGTTTCATTCCTATCGTCCGTGTTGTTACCTTAATAACGAGACGTGCACAGGTGACTCGCGCACAGCGATTATCCAGAAATACCTCGTCGTTAGGGGATCGATGGAAACGTTTCTCTTCCCATGCTGATTGACGGTATTTAGACCGGTTTTTAGGATCGCTGATGCGAAATTTTGCAGAGAACGGGATAATATGCGACGTTGCTAATTTTAAGTTTTAAACTGAGTTGTAAATTCGTGGTGTATATTCAAAATAGAAGGAATCAACCTGTTAACTGGGTCGTCTTCTGGGTCGCCAACTCCTTTTGGCGTGGGATTAGGAATTAATAAGGGCGGATTAACTTTCGGACAGGTTGCTTTTAGTCCATGCAAATGCAAATGTAATATCGGGTATGTATAAAATAAATATAAATTTATCGAGTAAACGTTGTATTTGAAATTGTAGCAATTATTCACTGAATCGAGTGATCTTGAAGACAGATCAATTATCGGAAAAATAAGGGAAAAAGTTAATTTATTAATTATAATGATTATTAACGTCAGATGACAGATCGTGAGACAGACGTTCTGCAGGGAATTAAAGACGAGACAGGATATTGTAGACTCTCCCAGACCCTCTTGTTCCATCGTCGATTGGGGTAGTCATTGAAATTGGTACTAGAGAATTCATGGTGGAAGTTGGTATTGGTAGGATGCGAAGATGGGGTACGAAGTCGATGGTTTGTTACGAGGAAGATATCGGAGTCGAAGTTGGTGGATTTCTCCGGAGGCTTTGAATGAATTTTTTAGCAGGGAACCGGGAGCCATGGACGAATAAGTTTTAGATCGAGTCAGGTCACCGAATGAGAATATGGAATGGCCAACAGGTCACTGAATTGGGATACGAAAGGTCTTCAATTTTTCGCAGCTATTCTTCCCTGTCGAATTTCATTCGATCGATCGGGATTAATAAATTCGAATCGGCGAATTTCCAGTCGCCATTTGCTCCGAGTCAACAAACTTCGTTACCCGTTTGCCTTTAGCTTGGGTAATTAGATCCGCAAGAATTCCATTTTTCATCAAAAATTCGAATCCCGGGTCTCGGAAACGTCGCTAGGTAGAGGAGGTCGGGATCGAATTAGAAAATCGCCAGGGAACGTGGAATCGCGTGGAAAATCATTAAATTTGAATGCTCCGTTGAGTATCCGGATCCCGTGAAAAGTATAATATCCTCGGTGATTTCGTGGCTCTCGGAAAGATCGGAATTTTTATCCCCGCGTTGCCTAATTTTTCGTTTCAGCGTTCTCGAAAGTCGCGATGACCATTACGCTTAATATCTATGGTAATTACCAACCGTAGTCTATAATAGGAATATTCGACTAAAAAATTCTGCGAAATTTTTCGCGAAATTAAAATTGCGAAATAAATATTTCTCGATCTCCCTTGGAACCTAATTACCAAACAGGGCCTAATTAACAATAGTATTCTTCAAATTCGACGAAAGAATCGAGCAGGAATTTTCCTAAATTTCTCGCGAAATTAAAATTGCGAAATAAATATTTCCCGATATCCCTTAAAGCCTCTGATTACCAACTGCGGTCAATATTAATAAGGATATTCGATCAAACGAATTGCGAAAAAATTCTGCGAAATTTTTCGCGAAATTAAAATTGCGAAATAAATATTTCTCGATCTCCCTTAAAACCTAATCATCAAACAGGGCCTAATTAGCAAGAGTATTCTTCAAATTCGACGAAGGGATGGAGGAAGAATTTTTCTAAATTTCTCGCGGAATTAAAAGATGAAATAACACAAACATTCGCTATTAGAAGACTGCGGAGGATAGTGGAAAAGTAATTTCATCGTTGGCAAAAATCTCGTAGCTATCCGAAGCGGGGACCAGACGATAGGCGACACTTCCGGGCGCAGAAGGCGAACGATAGTTCCAATTTCCTTCCGGGCTCCTTGTTAGAGGAGTCGGGAAAGAAAAGTCGGAAATACACAAGCCGGGTGGGGCGCCCAGCAAAAACCCTGTGCTCTTTCACAACCCTGATTACCACCTAGGTGTTCTAGCCCGAATGCCATAAGAAACTGACAGATTAAACGTTCAAGGCGGTAGCATCGAGGTTAAGGCCACCCAGAACTACGCCTCGTACGCGTTCATCAGCAAGGACTACGCCAAGTTTCGCAAGGAGACCAATTTCTTTGTACGTTTCATTTATTCTCTATTTTTAAACACCTTCCTATTCGTTTCCTTCTTCCCTGAATAACTACCTCTCTCACTTTGCTTTACGCTTTTGTAATAAAATCTGTCGTGCATGAGTTTGTAGGCATAATCTCCATTTCTTGAGCTTACTGTTATAAACATATCTTGCGATTTGTGTTTATTCATTGACGATTTTTCTAAAATTTTGGAAAATTAAATCATCATTTTCCTCATTTTAATATGCCATTTATGGTTACTGTGGTCGATAGGATTCCTAGGTTATTATCAAGCAGTGATTATTTTCATGGATCATTATACTATTCTTAATTTTATTGGTATATACATATTTTAGGATTTGCGTATACTCATTTAATATTTTTGTAAAATTTTGGAAAATTAAATCATCATTTTTCTCATTTTAATATGATATTTATGGTTGCCTTGATCGATAGGACTCCTAGGATATTATCAAACAGTGATTATTTTCATGGATCATTATACTATTCTTAATTTTATTGGTATATACATATTTTAGGATTTGCTTATACTCATTTAATATTTTTGTAAAATTTTGGAAAATTAAATCATCATTTTTCTCATTTTAATATGATATTTATGGTTGCCTTGATCGATAGGACTCCTAGGATATTATCAAACAGTGATTATTTTCATGGATCATTATACTATTCTTAATTTTATTGGTATATACATATTTTAGGATTGGCGTATACTCATTTAATATTTTTGTAAAATTTTTGAAGATTAAATCATCATTTTCCTCATTTTAATATGCGATTTATGGTTGCCTGGATCGATAGGACTCCTAGGTTATTATCGAGCAGTGATTCTTTTTATGGATCATTATACTATTCTTAATTTTATTGGTACAAACATATTTTGAAATTTGTGCATACTTATTTACGATTTTTCTAAAATTTTGGAAGATTAAATCATTATTTTCCTCATTTTAATATGCGATTTATGGTTGCTTTGATCAGTGTACCAAGATAACAAGACGGTGAAGTTTCGATATTTAATATTATCCATTGTTTAGTATCGTAATTAGAAATGTTTATCAAGCAGTGAAACTTAGAAAATTATTTCTCAATTTGAATTTATCAGTTTCTACCAATTCTTCAATACCAAGTCACTCGAAAGAGTTTTAAACTTTTATAAATTATTGTCAATAATGTCCACCTGAAATTTAGTGCAGTTCATGCACCTTATTTCTTCTAAATATCTCAAATTACTGTTTCAAAAGTCAGAACACTTGTTCCTTTAGGCACGACTGAGTTTACGATCGCAGTATATCGTTCGAACACGTGTGTTAACACTAAACCTACCCCGGTCGAATATCCATTCTTAAACTTTAATTGAAAATTCCACGCTGGACCCTGTCATTTTTGTTACTCGATACTACGACTGTAATAATTTACCATAATTTACACACCGATTTGTACCACGTTTATTCTGTTCTCTTTCATTTTTCCGTCGTTTCTCTGAGAAATTGAGTCATTTTGCTAATCAACGACTGGCCGCGGTAGGTTTGCTATTAATCGTGAATCCGGCAAGTCCATTCCCCGTCGCGAATACCCGAGCACGGAATTGGAAGAACGAGCCAATCCATCTTCCAATTGGTATTATTACCAAATGGTAACAGTCGAAGCAACAAACACGGCACACAGCCGGTCCTGCGAGTAGCTCGGATCTCTGACGAGGAATGCCTCACGCTGCGTTCCTCGACTAACTAAGTTAAATGTCTAACTGACGCGGCGTCCATTCCAGCGGGATTGCATTAATTAAATTCCATCCGGCTTGTAAATCACGTGGCACCGGCCATGAACGAACCCGACCATCTTTTATGACGATGGATGACAGCGGAATCGAGGATCGACGCCGTCACAGGCGTCCATTGAAGACAAACTGGCGTACCTATCGCTCCCTCTCGACTTCCATTTAACTATCAGCAGAAATTTCAATATTAATTTTCCAAAATTTTAACCTAGTTTACATTTTGATTACGATCTAAACAGAGTATATCAGCAGAGTAATAAATTCTAGGAAATTAAAAATTTTTGAATGATACAAGTGATTTTCAAATGTCAATTTCTGCCAATTTCTTTCTGCTCTTTTCCTGTCTTCCATATTCATTTTATAAAAATGGAATGAAGTATCTAAATGGCAGATTACAGGAAATTGGTATTCCTCTCAGTAACAAGTGAGTGAGGAGACTTCGTGATGTCATATAAATTAGGTAACTGGGTTCTGGACTAACCAATCACGGATCTAATTACGTTCATATATAACCCAATGATACTTGCTGGAAATAAATGCGACACAGTGATCAACTAACCCGAACTTCAGTGATCTAATTACTCGATGTATCAGCAACTCGATAAATCGCTGCTTTCATAGCTCGATCGCTAACTACTCCCTATTCGTCATACTAACCAGATACTGTACCTATTCATCTCCATCGATTAAGTAGAATATTCTTACTCCATTTTAATTCATTCAAGAACCAAACGAATCTACAATTCTATGATTTTAACTGACGATTGCTTTCAATTTTCTATTCGCGATCGATTGACGAGACGAGCTACTAGAAAATAATATTTCTATACAGCCGGCAGTCGATCAGATAACGAATCCTCCGGTGGAGGGACGAGGTCATCGAGTGGTCGAGGAACGAATCGATTCGAGCACAAAGGAGCTCGAGGAGGAGTCTTCGATCGCGACCGATTCCACGTCCTGGCCGTCCACCTTCGAGACCGACATCATGGACAACGAGATCCTCGAGACGGTGGACTACGTGAAATCCAGCCCGGAAATCCCCACCACCACTGCTGGTACCGTTGAAGAGGTAATCCTCGTATCCATGGAGAACCTCGTGGAGCGTGCACCACTGGTTTTCCGATTTTTTGAACGTATGTCGATTGCAGACAGTTCGAACAGATACCCGTGTGAATATTCGAAGATGAAGAAGTTAAAAATCCTTCAAAATTTTAGAGTGAGATAATTTTATCGATTTTTCCTCGAATATACTCTTTTCCTCTTAATTTCTATTATTCTGCACTAATTTCTGTTAAGGGTTATAACGCAAAGGAATAGTAGTCAGTGGAAACGGTGGAAAAATTGTATAGATCTTTATTAAATGGACGAACAGTTAGAACTGGCCTGTTTAGAGCTAGCAGGTTACCAGACGAAGTCACAAGTCACAAGTCTCCAAAAATGGGAGACAAAACACAAAACGCAGGGGAAGGGATCGCCCCCACATTGCTAGGATGTGGAGTTTAGAAATTGTTATAGTAAAAAGTAAATAGTAAAGTAAACTCAAATTTCAAAGTAGATTAGAAATTGTAGTAAAAACTAAATAGTAAAGTAATCTACTTTGAACTTTATTTCCATACCAAACACTTTGCCATATTTATTTGACATACTTGACAATGTCCTTTTATTATTGCTTATATGAGGTTATCGATATTATTTTAAAATTCTAACCCAATTCGAATATCTCGTTTGATATGAAAAATTTTATGCAATCGATCTACGTTTGATTTTCAATATTTAATGATTTTTGACACTTTGCACTCGAAGCTTGCTGTCATATATTAGAGAAGTCGAAGTGAAGACTATATTATATTTTTAAAATTAAGCTATTGAATATTAGAATACGAAATGACTAATATTCACCCGGAGACTTTATATTTTCACAATTAAGGTATTAAATATTACTCGATGATTGATAGTCAGCTCTCGAGCAGCAAAGTGTGAAGAAAGTTGGCAAAATATTAAGCAAAGTGGGATGTTGAATGCACCACTGACGCTCGATTTCGCAGTCAACGGCGAGCGTCGATTCGACCACTCTGGAATCGACTCTGTCGATCATGGACGACGATCTCGGCAACGACTCGTCGACGATTTCCTCGACGAACAGCGTCGGCGAGTCGACGACGATCAGCTTGATCGAGGATCTGTCAACGGCGGACGACACGACCACTACGAGCACGACTACGGAATCGACGACCCTTTTGCCGGAAGCGACCGGAAACGACACGGTGACGGAGCTACAGGAGGTGGAGAAGATGCGCGACGTGACCGTGAGGAACAAGAATACAACCTCGACGACGAGCGTAGAGCTCGAGCAGGATTTCGAGCACGCCAACTCCACGGTTAGTGCGCAAACAAATCGCTCGAGGATAACAAATAAATCGAGGATCCTCGAGTGGATACAGGATACTTACTTGGCTCGATCGCTTGGAAAATATTGCCACAACTCGGGCTAGTTTGTTCTCGATCCCGGGAGGACCGTGGAATTTTAATTACCTCTCGCGTTTTTAGCTTCACCTGGAACCGGTTGCAACTGATCGCTCCAAGTGTCACTTATGTAGGGATACTTTTGATTGGCAGGAGCAAGAAGTAAGAGATGTGGTTTTATTCCAATATATATTTATTGCAAGCTAAAAGAGACTTAGGAGTAGGGTTACACAGTCTCTACTATGCTGGAAAGTACTTCGACCCTAAATTTCCGCAGACTAGGGACTGGATCTGACTTAATCTCAACTTTATCTAAATCTTAAAGACTGCAACTAATAACTCTCAACGAACAACTCTTACTAAACTTCCTCTCTAAAGACTCTCCCAAAACTCTTAACGAACTAAACTCTATCTTCCAGAACGGGCCCCTTTAAACCTGTCTGAAAGGCAAGGGCCTCTCTCGAAGGAGGAGAAAACTCCCTCCACGCCAGGCTCAGGGATGGAAGAGACTTCTCCTGCCTGGTTAGGCTCTCCGAAGAGTCACCTTCGTGTGGCCTAACCCCGACCTCCTATTATCCATCTGACGGTCAGACCTTAACGAGTCCCCTAAACCTGGTGAAGTGTTCTCTACAAGATCACTTCGACCATCGTACCCTAATAATGCCTAAAAATATCCTACAGTATAAACTAAAAGACTAGATTAATAACTGATATGATCACGCAACTAACACTCTCACATAGACTCTTTCAAACTCCGAAAAGGACTGTCTTAAGACAGCCCTTGCATTCCTATTTAAACATACTCTCTCCTATGCATGCTTTCTTTCTCGTCCACTCATATTCCTCGCGACTTGGCCCTCGGTGGACCAGGTACCCAAACACTCAGATGCATTCCTAACTTTTGCTCATTAGTCATTAATATCCTTGCATGCTGTCACTCGTTCTTCCACGTGCACTTCAGACGTCACTCTGAACATTCGGCCTGAACCCTTGGCTGCTGTTTATTGTCCATTACCTAGGATAGGTAGGCCCAATTATTCACTTGCATTCACTCTCAAACCCTAGCATTCCTACACTCATAGAACGTCACTTATAGAGAACAAGGATGAAACACAGTTTTCTGATTCGAGGACCTTTAATCCCAATTGATGACATGTCTTTCTATGAATTTTTCGTGCGACTTTTCTATAGGAAGAATTAATCATACGATGCTTACATACCCATTTTTGCAAACGTAAGTTGGTTCAAACGAGGTTTTGCAGTTTCTTATTTAGTATAATGTAAAGAGTAAATGGGTTCGATTGAATATGGTGCATTTGCCTTGACGATTTGGTTTTGATTCTAATACAAAGAGCGAATGTGTTCGATTGAATATGGTGTGTTTGCCTTGATGTTCTGATTTTGACTACCTTCTATCTCCAGTCTCCGTGTGTTTCATGGATTCTCTGTGGTTTGTCCAAGAGACGAGATACCAATGTTTACATTAATATCTGCGTAATCAGTTAAGTGGTTTGTAGCTAGTTTGGTCTATTTCCTTGAGCTTCAGGAACGACTCTTGCTCAGTTATTGTGGATCTTTTAACGAGTCGGAATACAATGAAGGGTTTCAAAGAATGTTCGGAATCCACACTGTTTCATTGTTCCAAAAAATGTTCTAGGGAATCATTTGGTCTGGTACTGTGAAGTTGGCACTGATCTGATCATGCACTTATTATGTATAGACGGCGAGTTTGATACCTCGTCTCGTTGGATGAACTGTAGTCTTTTAGTAATGGTGGGATTCTAGCCTGTACACTATTCGTCTGCTGGTGATTTATTGATGCTTAGTAGGACCTAGTCCAAGTGGTGTCAATATGATCAGAGTGTCTACGAGTCATGGGATGCTGATAATAAATAAATAAAAGAAGCACCCATTGACTCGGGGTGCTCGGTGATCTTGGGAGTGAATGTTGAACAGTGAGATGTTCTGAAACCAACTATAGTTTAGGAAATAATTGGGCCCAAATATTTGAAGTACAGGTAGCCTGATGACACGTAAAAGTAATGTCAGATTTTCACGATCATAGGGATTGTAAAATGCGAATCTTCTCTTTAGAAAGTAAGAAATTGACAGCTACTTGCTAGACTTTGTCCAAGGCAAAGACTCCTCCCTGTCAAAGGAACTTCTTATTTCCACAATAATTAATCACGATTGCTTCGGCAAAGGTTATTAAAAGCTATCTGCAAACCTGAAACAGTCTATTAGTAAAGAAGCTAATGAGGAAGCATACAAAAGACCGTCTTTCAGCTATCTCGATCTAAAATCTCGCGAGGGAGAGCTAACGAAAGGAGAAAGAGGTGGGAGGTCATCGGATCCTCCGTCTTCCCCGATATTGGACACGTCGTTCACCTTTGACTTTACACTCGTAGCCTCTGCATCGATCAATTAACGTCGGGTTTGTCCAGCAGTCGGTATCAATCCGCGAAGTCGAGGCAGAACTACATAACCTGTTGCCATTAGGCGGAACCGGCCGAGACCACGGAGTCGATGGGCAAAGGGTCCGTCACCAGGCCGTCATCCACCGTGTTAATGCCGGACGACATCCTGGTGATGAACGTGACTGTGAAAACGAACGTCTCGGTGGGTCACATACAGGGTGTCACGATCAATCCGATTAGATCGATCCCGCCGGACGTAGAGGCCATTCTGAACATCACTCATCGGGAGAAGGGGGAGGATTATGATTACGACTACAGCGAGCCGACTTTGCCACCGTCGTTACCGAATGTCAGGTAAGGTAAATACTGTTAATAAATGCCGTTATTCGAAGTGACTATGTTTCTTTGATCATTCGTGTTAGCTTTTCTCAGAGAGAAAAAGAGGGTTGATCTGTTAAAGCTTTTAACACGTTAAGTGCCACGTTAAGTCGTCAGTGACCGGGCTAGACTAGGATCAAAAGGTACTAACTTTTGGTGTTAAATTCTTCGCCATCTTTGGGCCTAACGTTTGGGAATTCCTGTTATAACAATTGGTACAGTATTTCCGAATTTCACGAACACTTCATCCGCCATCGGTGGCCCACTTGATGGCCTAGTCTAGGCCTGAATGGAAAGGCAAGCGAAACGGACTGGGCACTACGTGTTAATATTGAAATATTAGTGTGTAATAGACGTATCTAAATATAGTGGACATTGGTGATAGTAATTGAAGCTATATAATAGGTACAATTAAGCTTATCTTGATAAGTGCCACGTTAAGTCGTCAGTAACCGGGCTAGACTAGGATCAAAAGGTACTAACTTTTGGTGTTAAATTCTTCGCCATCTTTGTACCTAACGTTTGGGAATTCCTGTTATAACAATTGGTACAGTATTTCCGAATTTCACGAACACTTCATCCGCCATCGGTGGCCCACTTGATGGCCTAGTCTAGGCCTGAATGGAAAGGCAAGCGAAACGGACTGGGCACTACGTGTTAATATTGAAATATTAGTGTGTAATAGACGTATCTAAATATAGTGGACATTGGTGATAGTAATTGAAGCTATATAATGGGTACAATTAAGCTTATCTTGATAAATGTAGCTACACGATGTCAACAAGTGCTAAAACAAATAGCCAAGATCAGTTCTTTTGAATGGATCTCTTTTACCTAGCTTCAACACTCTGTCAAGTGTCAAAATGATACAAATGATATTCTCGATTCAAATTGGCTAAGAAAAATGAACCCAGTGTCACGATAGATCTTGGCAGAAAATCACAAGCTACTACAAGTCATGATGTCATGATTTAACTCACGGGAAGCAATCATTACTTTGTCAAACTTTCGACGACGATCTCCTCGTCATCGAAGGAAACTGCAATTAATTAAAATATTCGAATTGGTTAAGAAAAATGAATCATAGCAAAGAATCAAACGCTACACCGTGTCATGATTTGAAGATTTAATGCTGCACTTAATCGAAACTAAGTTGAATAAAATATGGCCGACGATAATGGCGTCTTCGGGGTGTTTTTCACTTTCAAGGAGGGACAAAGGAACGGGTTAGGTGGTGGATAGAAATGAGAAATTTTTGCGTTTCCATGCAGGATAATTCCCTTCGTGGCAGCGGACGCGCTGGTGAAAGACAAGACGGTCCCGTCCCCGGTCACCGGATATCCTTCCGGTTCGGTGGTGGTGCCTCCGGAGCTGCGGCCCACCGACACCTCGGGATTTTACGATATCGCCACTCAGGAAAACAGATTCAGTCCGCCGGTGGAGACCGAAGGTGGGTCGTATTTTAAACTCGTCCCACGAATACATTCAGTCAACGCCGTTCGCGTTTTACGCCCTCCGTAAACCACGATCCCTCGCGTGGTCGCACCTTCGAGGAACACCATTTTTCCGCTTTCCTTATTTTTCCTTTTTAATTTTCTTTCACGGCTTTTTAATAGTTTCCTGCGGCTCTGTTAATGCGACTACTTGGAAAAAGATTCTATTATTACTCGCGGTTTATTACGCTTCTCAACTCAACTAACTATCTTTTTCGTGCATCGATGGTGAACATTGATCGAATTACTATAGTTATCGATACTAACTTTTATGAAACACGGATTTTTATTAGTCTCTATTTTCCTACCACGATAAGGGATATTTAATTGATTTTAATACTAATGTTAATACTAATTTTTGCGTAACTTAGATTTTTATTAACCCCTCTCTCAGGTGCCAAGGGTTAATTTTAACTTTATTGAGTCTTTAATTTCGTAATATAATTTATGAACACCTTTGGAATTGTTCATACTAATTTTTGTGTAACACAGATTTTTATTAATATTTAGTCCTCTTTGCCGGATTTTTAATCGATTTCGTAATATAATTCGCGAATAATTTAAAAATTCTGTTATATAGGTTATAGAGTGTATGTTTCAGCGAACGTTGCGTTCACGCGTATGGTATTAGACGAGGTCCTTTGATTTCCCTCCTGCAGACTGCTTCCCTTTCGCGTTACGTAGTCTCAGTTACTTATGCTAAAACAGCCTGACTTTACCGTGTTTCTTCTTTGAACTCGATTTGTTTTCCTCAAGGTGGATTCGTGCCGAGGGAACCGCCCTATTTCGACGCTCCTTACCACTCTACCGATCTGAATCTTGAAATCGGGACAGGCGTCACCGTGGTTCCGGCAACAATCACGAATCCTCATCGCAAAAGCGACGGTAACGATCGTTCCATGCAAATTCAATATTTTTTCTTATCACACCGCGTTTTTCTACCATTCGTTGCATTATTAACTCTCTGCGACTCCACGTTACAAGTAAGTCACACGTCTGTGTTAGTTACATTTGTTATGTTACTATATATTGTTATAATATTCTCTGGATACTCATTGCTATCTTTTCTCAGCAAGAAATTCGCATACAGCAGCTCTTGTTCTTATTTGTTATTATTCTTTCTGCATTGCAACGAAAAATAATTATGAACCACGAGATATGTCTTTCTAGCCAGTTACAGGATGTTAGATTATAATTTTTAATTAATTTTGAAGCTCGGCACGCTGAGAATTTCGAAGCATTACGAGAGTCTCCGCTTTTGTTTCATAAATCTCAGCCAGCAACTGTCTCTTCGAGAATATGGAGTACCGTCACGGGGAGATTCTGCCGAGCAGCAGTATCTGCGTGATTTGCATGTGCTACTACGGCGAGGTGGTGTGCTCCTCGGAAAAATGTCCGCCTCTGAAGATCGGATGTAGAAGGATCAACACCGAGGAGACGTGTTGCGGAAAAATCGTCTGTGGTATGAGAAAGCTTGCGGGATTCTTGGGAAAACTGATGGAGGAAAATTTATCCTAGCATAATTTTAATTTCAAAATTGCTCGGCTACAAAATTCCCGGAAAGAAGCACATTTTCGAATAAATTTCTATCAGATGAAAATAAGGTAGAACTTAATACATTTCCCATGTAGAACAGACCATCGAATGGGAAAAAGAACTTTAACCGGAAAAAATTATTTCCAAGATTAGAAATAAAATTTTCCAAAATTATTACGTCACTGGATCTTACCTTACCTTTTTTAAATTAAAATTATTTAAATTCGCATTTCCCATATATAACAAATGATGGAATGGAAGAAGGAATTTTAACCAAAAAAATTTATTTGCAATTATTTCCAAGGCTCCAAATAAAATTTTCCAAAATTATTACGCCACTGGATAGATTATTACTCTACTTTTCTCTACATATTTCCAACCTGCACGAATCATACAAATAATTATAATGATTTAAATTCACATTTCCCATGTGTAACAAATAATTGAATGAAAGAAGAAATTTTAACCAGAAAAAATTATTTCCAAGGTTCCAAATAAAATTTTCCAAAATTATTACGTCACTGGGCTTTACCTTACTTTTCTCTACATATTTCCAACAAAATTATTTAAATTCCCGTGACCACTACCGAATAAATAATTTTCCTTCGAGACTATAACTTTCCCACTGTGAATAATTCCAGTGGAGGCTGAAGAATCGCCAACCGTGGTGCTAGACCGTGCCGACGCCACTGCACCGTCTCTCCATCAGCCAATAGTGTCTCCGGATCCATTCCGCGACGTGATCAAGACGGAACCAGCTCCGGATTTGCCTTCCCTCATCGAGGACATGATCCCCTATCTGGTGGAGCACGGGATCACCACTCCAAGGCCATCCACCACCAGCACTCTGAAACCTCTGCAGACCCAAGGAGCCAATCACCAGCATTCGTCGAATTTCGATTTCGTCGACAAATTGGTTCTTCTGCGTCCACCGTATAGACCAGAAGAAGACCCAGACAGACAGATCCCGAAGAATAAATACAACGTTGCTCAAGAGGGCCACCTGCAAGAAGGGATCGCCTCGAGTTACAATTCCAAGGAATCAGAACAGTCTCTGGATCACGTCTCTGAGCCGGTTCCTCATAGAATCGGCCCCCTGATGGTGGACCATACTACCAAGAAACAGGAAGACCGTTTTGTACCTTCCACCAACGCGACAAATCCTATTTCTGCGAAGCTAGACACCTCAAAGATCAACGACACCGATATTTCATCTGGATCTAAGGTCCCAGATCAGTCGATAGAGATCAACGACTCGAAGCTTCATTCTACCACCGGTGGACCGGTCTCTAAACCTAACCCAGATCTAGAGGACCCTATATTCTCCTTAGACAGCGTCCTAGATCTTCTGTTCTCCTCGGACACGATTAACGACCCAGGTAACAAGGCTACGAAGGCACCAGAGCCCTCGACCACCAGCAGGTCGACCACTGATACCAACCACGAGTCAGAGAACGAGAACGTGTCTTCCAAAACGAGTCCCAAGACGCTGGATCCCGTGACGGAGGCTGCACCGCCATCCAAGGTCCTGGAGAACGAGATCCCCATGTCCGTGGCGAGTTTGCTGAAGCTGGCCGGTTGCAACATCTACGGCAGGATGTATCGCGTCGGCAGGATCATCACCGAGCTGTCTGGACCTTGCCTGGAGTGTAGGTGCACGGAGATCGGGGTGCAGTGTAAGCAGCTCAAGTGTTGATCGAGGTTGCCCGTGCTCGGGCAAGCTGTTTTCCTTGCAATTAGGTTCGTTCGAGTTAATAGATTCACTGCTGCTCGATGCGTTTCCGGGGAAAGTTTTGGGATAATTGACGAAAGGAATGGGGGATCTAACGATTCAGAGTTAATGGGCCTTTGAGTCCAAGTGCTGGTACGGTTCGTGACGGATGCTTGGTATGTATTGTTCCGGTAAATTTTGCACAGAGTCAGGTAGGGCAGAGCGGTCGTGCAAAGGTAGAGAAACTCTCGCAATCTCTTGCACTCGAGGGGTTGAAATGGCAAACCATGTTCCTGTCAAAAGTGAAAAACTCGCGTTCGTTAACTTTTGTACCTTAACTTTGGTATTTCTGAAAACAAACGTAAATTATTCTGACTTTTCTCTATTAAAAAAATGATTTTGGTTTTTCATTGACACCTACATGGGTTGCCATTTAAATCTTGTAATTGGATGTTACTAATTATTTCTATATTTGTCTTTTTAATTGTCGAAGAAGATTGTAAAACATGAAATTGATATCAGAATGTGCAGATTTTGGATTTTAGTGGCACTGGAATGATCGTGAGGATTTCTCGAGTGAGGGGAGGTTTTGTATTTGTAATATATTGAGCGGTGAATGTGTTAATTCCTCGAGTCATTGCTTCCTGTTTCGATGATTAGCTTGATGGAAGGCGATGCCACGATTGAAATCCCGATCGATAAAATTTCAGGCACGTTCCGAGATGCGAGCTTACTTACCGATTACGTATCGTTATAATTTCCATCTATAACCCACGTTCGCGATCACTATATCTTCGGATAATCTTGTCTGGGTCCCCGCGATCTCATGCACGGAGACCTCGTCTCATGCATGCAGACGCTTGAAGATGAATATAATACTTCGTGGATGCATTATGGTGCTAGCTAATCATCGAGCTTCTATGTGAAATCGTGTTTCGAATTTTGATAATGGGGAAATATTTATCTAGGTTTGATCATGTTTCATTGCCAATGATGCGTCAGAAGACAGGAAGACATTTGCACGGAATTTCGATCAGGTACTTTTCAGTCCTAATCTAGACTTAACCCTAATTGAAATTTAATTCCAGTTAGACGATACTCGAACCTAAATTCCCCGAAGTCAACTGCAATAAAATACCCCAGCCACCCCTAATAGAACAGCCCTCTCTTCTCTAAAATCAGCTTTATTTGACCACTTCTGGATTACGATCCAAAGTCAATTTCAACGAGTGACACCCTTCAACCAAAGCCACCCCTAATCAACCAACCCTCGATGCTCGCTTAAAGATCCTGTCTTTCAATTGATCTGATCACAGTTCTGATCTAAGTATCGTGCTAATTAAGTGATACTCGACCTCGAGTTGTCAATAGTAATAAAATTCTCAGATGCTTCGAATCTCTAAAATTAACCCTAATAGACTACTATTGTACAACCCCAATATTTTATATAATTCACCAATTGCTTTTAATAATGCAATATTCGGTTCTCTAAAATTAATCTCAATCGATTAATTTTGTTCTTGGATTGTGATTCGAGGTCAATTTCCACGAGTGACTCGCTTTGATCCAAACCCACCCGTAATGAATTAACCCTCGATTACTGAAAGATTTAAAGAATCCTAATAAATATTTAATTTCAAATAAATTCTCTAAAGTCAACCTCCATAAAATTCTTAAATAACTTTCTCAAAATTGTTTTCATTGACAGTCAACCATTCTTCAATTAAAGTATACTCAAAAATTCTTTGAAATAGACTCAAACCCACCCCTAATGAATTAACCCTCGATTACTGAAAGATTTAAAGAATCCTAATAAATATTTAATTTCAAATAAATTCTCTAAAGTCAACCCCCATAAAATTCTTAAATCACTTTCCCAAAATTGTTTTCATTATCAGTCAATTATTCTTGAACCAAAGTATACTAAAAAATTCTTTGAAATAGACTCAAACTCACCCTTAATGAATTAACCCTCGATTACTGAAAGATTTAATAAACCCTAATAAATATTTAATTTCAAATAAATTCTCTAAAGTCAACCTCCATAAAATTCTTAAATAACTTTCCCAAAATTGTTTTCATTATCAGTCAATTATTCTTCAACCAAACTATACTCAAAAATTCTTTGAAGTAGATTCAAATAAAATTCTGAAAGAAGCGATCCTTTCTGAAAGAAGCAACGTTCACTCCTCTAGAATTACTCTGAATCGATTAATCTCATGCTTGGACTCCGATGCGAAGTCGATTTCAACGAGTGACTCGCTTTAATCCAAACCCACCCCTAACGAACCGATCCCGAACGATTACCCGAAGATCGTGCCTTTTAATTATATTTTCTCCGCTCGCTTACCCGAACAGAAACGTCCTCGAATGAGAGAGGGTGAGAAGTTGGCAGTTTTATTCGTGCTGCGTCGTTGACCGGCCCATGAACGCCTCTTGCCACGGTAGTATCCACGGCTTTTGCGAAGATCGATTAGGATGTAATTGTGAGGGATAGCGGTTCCGTGCTCCGCAAGGATAAGTGGATAAAGACGGAAGTTGGCGCCTCGTCTACCGTTCCTCAGCTTTAACGGGGAATTAGCCTGCAATAGGGGTGGCTGGTCTTCCGTTTTGATTTATCCGTGCGATTTAGTCAGCGCGATTAACTGGCTAGAAGACTCGAGATTGCGTGGCAATTGCTGAGATATTCCTTGGATTTTAATGCGATTATTTGTTTATCAAATTTAGCTGCCCCAGTTCATTAAGGTTCATTCGATGCTTGGGGGTTTACTCTACGTCTTCTTCGGTGATTAAATTCTTTTTCGGAAATTTTTTTGTAATAACAGTGTTTTATGTATGAAATTGTCGGAGCCTCGTGTAATTAAATTCGCAGTCTATAATTATTTTTGCTTAAAAATATGCAATTTATTTTCTAGAATATTTTAATATAAGAAGAATACTTCCTGCTTCAAGTTCTTTTCCTAAATTTTGGAATTTCTTCATTGTAGCTTGAATTAGTTGAGAATAGTAGTATTACTTTAATGAGTATATCTATTTGAAATTGGAAATCTTTTCAATACATTAAAATTCTCCACTCCCAATTCTAATTCAAAAAATAGAATTATTTTTCCAATTTTTTCCCCAAAAGGAATATTAAATATAGACACGACGTGCTCCATACTTACCCTTCAACTACCCCAAATTTGTTTCCAAAATATTAAGTACTCAGAACAATACTCATTAACTAATTACTCCAGGCTATCAGTATTACTTTGAGTATACCCATTTAAAATCCACTAAACAAATTTTTATTGTTTTCAATACATTAAAATTCTCCACTCCCAATTCTAATTCGAAAAATATAATTATTTTTCCAATTTTTTCCCCAAAAGGAATATTAAATATAGACACGACGTGCTCCATACTTACCCTTCAACTACCCCAAATTTGTTTCCAAAATATTAAGTACTCAGAACAATACTCATTAACTAATTACTCCAGGCTATCAGTATTACTTTGAGTATACCCATTTAAAATCCACTAAACAAATTTTTATTGTTTTCAATACATTAAAATTCTCCACTCCTAATTCTAATTCAAAAAATATTATTATTTTTCCAATTTTTTCCCCAAAAGGAATATTAAATATAGACACGACGTGCTCCATACTCACCCTTCAACTACCCCAAATTTATTTCCAAAAGGACAATTAAATACACGCTCAATGTTACCCAATCCAAAACCCTCCATAGCCCTTGATAATCACAATAATTAAAAAGAAAGAAAACGAGTAATGAAAACAACTCGCATTTCGGAACGACAGTCAGATTTGCGACTTCATCCTCGTTGCAATCGGTTTCTGTCAGTGGCATGGCCGCCATCGTGGCTGCATTTAATCCTGTATGTTATTGTTTATCCGCTAGACCCCGTATACCCGCGTAGATATAATTAATTATAGTCTATTTGTGATCCGTACGAGGTGGTGCTATGATCGATCCTCGTCGACAGCCCGGAAACTTCTCCACGCGTCGTTCGTCGATTCGTCAGCGAATTCAACTCACTATCATTTAGATTGTGCTATCATTTAGACCGTAAGCCTAGCCGTTAATTAATCTTAATTAATCTTAACGTAATCAATGAAAACTTAGCGACACTGTAACCGATTTAGCAAGAACGATTCCACGGTGAAACTTTCCTCGATCTTCCTCCACCAACGTTCATCCGGTTCTCGCGTCCTTCCACCCCCGGTTTCAGGAATCATAAGGGCACCGTGCCGGAAACGGACCACGGGATAGGGTAGCCGTTTCTGTATCGCGTTGGCAAGGCCGTAAATTCGCGCTGAATGCCGCACAGAGGCTTGTACTATACGTTTTATTGTACGATTGTCGTAATAAACGTTTACGGAACTCACGTTCACGATTCTTTCGTTTCACCCTTCGACGTTTCAGCGGAAACGGGGTTGCATCGGTGTTTGCTGGGATCTCGTTGTGTTTGATTTGAGAGAAAGGAACGGATGGATTCCAGCATTTCTTTCGAATCGTTGAAATTTTATTCGCTCTTTTCATTTATTACACCGAAAAGGTAAAAAAGCTTAAAACGATATTTAGAATTTAAATTTTTTATTCAATTTGGAATTTTAATCGCAGTAATTTTACTCCCTCTTTTTTTTTATGTAATACTGAAGGCAAACTATAGTTTAAACGATATTTAGAATTTTTATTTTTTATTCAATTTGGAATTTTCATCGCAGTAATTTTATTCCCTATTTTTTTTTTTTTTTATGTAACACTAATGGCAAACTATAGTTTAAACAATATTTAGAATTTAAATTTTTGTATTCAATTTGGAATTTTAATCGCAATAATTTTACTCCCTGTTTTTGTTTTTTATTCAATTTGGAATTTTAATTGCAGTAATTTTACTCCCCCTTTTTGTTTTTTATGTAATACTGAAGACAAACTATAGCTTAAACGATGTTTAGAATTTTTATTTTTCATCCCTTTTAA